CAGCATGGAGAAAAAATGGGGAGGACAGCATGGAGAAGAAATGGGGAGGAGGACAGCATGGAGAAATGGGGAGGAGGACAGCATGGAGGAGAAATGGGGAGGAGGACAGCATGGAGAAATGGGGAGGAGGACAGCATGGAGAAATGGGGAGGAGGACAGCATGGAGGAGAAATGGGGAGGAGGACAGCATGGAGAAGAAATGGGGAGGAGGACAGCATGGAGAAATGGGGAGGAGGACAGTATGGAGGAGAAATGGGGAGGAGGACAGCATGGAGAAATGGGGAGGAGGACAGCATGGAGAAATGGGGAGGACAGCATGGAGAAATGGGGAGGAGGACAGCATGGAGAAGAAATGGGGAGGAGGACAGCATGGAGAAGTGTCATACACCTTCACCTGTGCGTTTGTCTTTCCAGTCGTTCATCCATTGCAACAAAGAATGCCAGAGAGACAAATTCTAATGGAGACATGTGCAGAATGCTAAGGAAATATAAAAGATAGGCTGCAGACAGGCAGTGGTGGCACACGCCTTTAATCCCAGCTACTCAGGAGGCAGAGGCAGATGGATCTCTGTGAGTTCGAGGTCAACCTGGTCTACAGCGTGAGTTCCAGGACAGACAGGACTACACAGAGAAACCCTGTCTCAAAAAAAACAAGATAAATAAATAAATTTTAAAAATAAAATAAAAGATAGGCTTCAGCTCTGGGGAAATGGAGACAGGAGGATTCCAGTCAGCCCAGTGGAATCAGCGAGGTTTGGGCCTCCACGTGCAAGTGAATATCTGTGCATGCTCATCCACATACATGCCCTCTCACGCACACGCCCCCTCACACACACATGAAAATGAAAAAAATAAAACGGAGGACAACTGAGGAAGATAAGATGTTGACCTCCGACCTTCACATGCATCATCACACATGTGCATATTCATAAAGCATGCATACAAATAAATGATAATAATAATTTTTTTAAAAGACAGGCTGCAGAGATGGGGACTGTCATGGAAGTAGGTACATTTCACTGGAGACCCTTAAGCCAAGACGTGAGTCGAATACAGAAGCAGGTGGCCTCTAGTGTTCCTCTAGTTTCCTCTTTTCTCTCTCTCCCTCTCCCCACCACCCTTTTTCTTTTTTGTTTTGTTTTTTGAGACAGAATTACTCTGTGTAGCCCTGGGTGTCCTGGAACTCACTTTGTAGACCAGGCTGGCCTTGAACTCACAGAGATCCGCCTGCCTCTGCCTCCTGAGTGCTGAGATTAAAGGTGTTCGCCACTACTACCTGGCCTCCTTGTCACAATCTTGCTGGGTGACCTCAGGCGAATGATCGGAGACCAGTTTTCTCAGCTTCGAGGTAGGGATGGTACCAACTTGGAGGGTTACCACACTATGCAAACATGATAATGCACCAGCGAGGAACCTTGCGAGGTGCTTGGTATCTGTGCAGAGCATGCGCAAAGTCACCTCCTGTTGCTGCTAACAGCAGCAGGAGCCACCAAGCTTCTTCACGGGCAGAACTACAGGCCTCTGTCTTCCAGCTGGAGAGCCGAGCCAAGCAGAGGCCGGTCCCCAGCGTCCCCCATCCCCACTCCCTCGCCCCCCTCCGTTCTTGGAGAAACATGAGAAGCTGAGCTTGGGGATCTTATGTATGTCCCCCACTTAATCCTTCCTGAACTTGGGGTGGGGGCGGGGTGGGGGCGGCACCACTGCCACACCTGCCCTGCTCTGACAGTCCCGCCTCTGGGCAGAGAAAGCAATTTCAGAAATGACATGTTGCCAACAAGCAGAAATCAGTTTGTGAATTAAAATGTGTCGGCGTCAGGTGACCCCAGGCTCAGCGGGCTGGCTGCGTGGCTGCATGAAGACAGCTGAGATTAGAGGCTGTCAGCCATGGGAGGGGTTGCTGAGGAAGGCTGGTGAGACCTGGGGCTACCGTTACTCTCCAGGGCCTTGGCCGTCCTGGACTTGTTCAGACAGCGAGGCAGGAATCCCGACACTGGGCCCGATCTGCCATGCATCTGACTAGCCCTTACCTCTCAACCAGCCACTCTTTGGGGTGAAAGCTGGTGTGTGTATGGGGGTCTGGCTTCGTTCCCCTGTGCCAGCTCCAGCATAAACGAACTAACGGGCCTGAGAAAGCTGGGGAGGAACATGGGCCTCATAGCCTCTGGGCATTTAGGGAGGATGAGAGGTGCGTGGACTAAGACACTTAGGAGGGAGTCAGCCTGGGCTCTGCAAGTGTGCAGAGGAGAGAGGAAGGTGCTATCAACCATGTTGAGTGCTTGCAGCTCCCCGGTGCCCTTTCTGGTGCTCCAGGCTTTAGCTCAGCCATCTCTGCATTCCTAAGGCAAGTGGCCTTCTGGCCTACACATATATCTGTCACACTACACACAGATACATATGTGTAATCCTAATGATTTATGTTTATTTATATGTATGCATGTGTGCTTGCTTGTATGTATGTGCACGATATGCATGCCAGTACCCTCCGAGGCCAGAGATGTGTTGGATCCCCTGGAGCTGGGGTTAAAGGTTGGTGTGAACTGTTCTATATGACTGCTGGGAACCAAACCCAGGTCCTCTGTAAAAGCAAGTGCTTTTAATCACTACGCTATCTCTCCATCCACAATAATGTAATTTTTGAAAAATGTTACGAGGCAACCAAATAGTCCCACAGTCTTGATCTGCCTCTCCACAGAGGAGCTGTAAACTTCAAAGGGAAAATAGTGGCTTCTCACAGGGAGCTCTGGCAGAAGCCACATAGTCAAGGGACGAGAGTGAACGTCGCCAGTCATGGATCTGCGTGTAGTCACTGACAACGCGGACAGGGAAGGGCACACACCACCCGCACAGCTTCATGGAAAATGTTAGCCTGGATCATGGTTTAGGAGACAATCACAAACCGCAGTTGAGCGATGGAGACACGCAGCTTGAGTGTTGAGACGTGAATGAATTACCAGTGTCACTGAGAAGCAGGCAGGGAGTGTATTCTAGAGTACAAGGCTGCAGAAGCACCACTCTCAGTGCAATGCCTGAGTCGTGAGTGTACCCAGGAATGGGGCATTTGAGGTCCAGCTAAAAAATGAGTGAGCATAGATGGTATCCCAGATGGCATCACAACTCTCAGATGTGATGATGGCTTGGGCTTCTGTTGTTGGTTTTAGGGGAGTATCATTGTAAATTCACAAATAATATGCAAACAGACACACATACACAAGCGCACACAAAGGGGTATGCGTGTGTTTATCTGTGTATTTATTTGTTTTGGGGTGTGTGTGTGTGTGTGTGTGTGTGTGTGTGTGTGTGTGTGTGTGTAGATCATAGGGGAACATTGGCAGTCTTTCTTTATCACTCTCTTCAGCTTGTTGTTTTAAGATAGGTCTTTTGCTGAAACAGAATCACCATTCAGCTAGGCTAGCTGGACGGCAAACTCCAGGATCTGCCTATCTCCTGTTCCCACCCCAACCCCCAGTACTGGGGTTTCAGGCACATGCAGCCATGTCTAGTTTTCAAGTAGAATCTAAGGATTAGAGCTTGGGTCCTCATGCTTGCACAGCAAATGCTGTTACTCACTGAGCCATCTCCCCAGCCAAGACTAAGTGCTTTGTTTTATATTTAACATAATTTCTTTATTGAAGCTTTGGGAATTTCACATCATGCACCCCAATTCCACAACGTGGGGCAGAAAGGATACAGTTGACAAAGAGGCTTGGGTCTGCCTGTTGGCAGAAGGGCCAGATCTCTGTACACCCGGTAACCATTCCAGCCTCGCTTCCCCTGGCTGTTGAGAAGGGAAGAGGCCGTGTGTCAGGTGGGGCTCAAGTGAGAAAGACGATAAAGCCCTGCACAAACTGAAGCCTGCTACCGTGTGAGGAGCCTTCTGTCATTTGCTCAGAACCAGCTGGAATCCATGCCCAAGAGCACAGGGCCTCAAACATGTTAGAACGGGATACAGGGGGAAACACGGGTACCCTCAGGGCTGTCTCCCTCCCTGAGGACCCCAGGTGAGACAATGTAGCCTTCAGCGGGGCTGAAGAGCTGGGACAGGGCAGGTCTGAGCTGGGAGAAGAGGACTGTTTGCTCCCCTTGCCCCTACTAGCTGCTTCCACCTCCCTTGTACCGGATCCCCAGGAGGTGATGGCGTTGCAGCGTGTGCAGAGAGCAGTGCACCTGAAGCTGGGCGTATGGAGCTGATGCAGAAAGGGCCCAGCCCATTGCGTGGCCTTACTTCTTGTTTGTTCCTGGCTATGCTTCCTGAAGGCTCCCACTTCGCTTTACACTCTATCCTCCTCGTGGCCCAGGCCGCAGAGCTGGGGCCTCTGCAAATGTGTTCAGCCTGGTCTGATTTGATGGGCAACCTTCGTTGGATGATGGCCTTACTCTAAGTCTCAGTTTACCCAGAATTCACAACAAGGGGTGTGTTCCTGCACTACCTACCCCAGAGGAGACATGGAAATGTTAGGAGGAAAAGACCCCTGGAGCCTGGCAGATCTGTGTCCAGCCTGGCATTGCTGCCTGCTGGTGGCCATGAGCATTCCTATCTCTCAACCTTTATTCCTTAGCCAGGGCAGGCGACAGCATCTCCTGGGCAAGATACTGCAGCAAACCAAGACAAAAAGAATACAATTGGGACTGGGGAGATGGTCCAGTCAGTACAGTGTTTGTCTTGCAAATCCAAGACCTGAATTCAACTACCAGAACCCACATTAAAAAGCCAGGCTTGGTGGTGGTGCACACTGGTAATTCCAGCATTGGGGAGGCCAGCAAGCCCGGACTACTTGGTGAGCCCCAGGCCAGTGAAAGAACCTATCAAACAAAACAAAAGGGAAGGATATCTTCTAGAATCTCCACATGTGTTTGCATGCATGCATGAGTGTTCTCTCTCTCTCTCTCTCTCTCTCTCTCTCTCTCTCTCTCTCTCTCTCTCTCTCTCTCTCTCTCTCTCACACACACACACACACACACACACACACACACACACACACCAATGAAAAAGGAAGCACAAATACCCAGTGCATAGTTTATTGGTTTGTTAGCTTTCTTCTCTCCAGCACGTCAGCCTCATGAAGCTGGGACTGGCTCTTAAGTGTGTGACAGCATTAAAAAAGTAGGGCTTCCATTGTCGTTCTCAAATGTGCTCAGAGGGGAAGTACTGGCAGTTCGTGGCTGTTGAGATGACACTGGAAAGAAAGACATGATCTTCAGGGCTGGCACAGTCTGTGTGGTCATCCATCTGCCAACAGCGGGTGTCAGAACATCTGGCTATATGCAGGCCAGGAGACAGGTTCTGCATGCCCATGAAAGCCAGATGGGAGCATGTATGACTTGAGGAAGGGCAGGGGACTCTGGGATAAGAGGGGGTCCCATGCATTCTGTCTGGTGTGGCTCCCAATGCTGGCAGCCTATCAGGATGCCAGTCCCATTTGCCAGTGCAACTGATTTTCAAAGCCCAGTGGGAAATAATTCATTTTCAAAGGCAAAAACATGAAAGAAAGCAAACAAAACTCATCTCTGGGCTGGAAGGGGCTGGAAACTATATCTTGGGTGATGTGTGCTGCAGGACCCCCCAAAAATGACCTCCATGGAGTCTTTGTCTCTCCAGGCTTCTCAGGAAGTCCCAGTCCTGAGATATGAGACTCAGCTTGCTGGAGAAACTAGCATGTTGTCCAGGGGGGAAGACAAAGGTCACACATAGCAAGGACCTCCCTTAGTTTCTAGGTTCAGGGTGAGATTAGTGGCTTTGGCTCTTAGGTTTGGAGGAGGTCCACTCCCCCAGTTATTGGGGCATGTTCAAGTCAATATTCACTCATTGTTCTCTTCATGTGACTTTGAGCACAGGCCTCTATCTCTGGGCCAAATTTGGAAAATGGATAGAGTACTTTGGCCTCATCTAACCTAACCTTACAGGGAAAATGGAGAAATCAAGGGAGAGTGAAGAGAAGAGTGTTTCTAAAATTGGAAAGTGCCCATTCTTTTTGTCCTTTATGAGCAAAACCCTTTGGACAGAGCAGAAAGGCCTCCTGGGGCCCAGAGACAGGGAATCCACAGACCTCACAAGAAAGACCCTGCTCAGTTTCACAGAGCTCATCTCAGGACGGATGTGTACTCCCAAGCTCCAAGACAGTCTTCCATGAGACACAGGAACTGTGACCTCCCTCAGCTACCTGGTATCCAGCTCCGTGAGCGCCCCTGGAAGACTCAGTTGTGTTTCCCCAGAGGCTTCTGGGTAAACACGTTGAACCCCACATGTGGTGCCCAAGAAATAGAGAAGCTATATAAATAACATAAATACTTTCCCATATATCTTAGCTATATAAATTATTTTCTAAAAACTATATGTATGAGGTAGGCAGAAATACCCTGTGAACATCTCCCTTAAAGTTCCAGTCTGAGGGGCCCCAGCATAACTGGGGTGGGATGTTAGGGGAACAGAAAGAAAGGGGCCTTGGAGAAAGAAAGAAGGGAGGGAGAGGGTCAGACTGGGGGCTAGGGCATCAGTGTTAACAGCCAGCCACAGCCTAGGCTTCAAGTCCGACTTTGACCCTTCTGCACCCCTGCCCTCCTGACCATAGAGTCAGGGTACAGGTGGTATGGTTGTAGGTCAGAGTGTCCTAGTCCCCAAGTTGTTTCCGGCTCCCTTCTTGCCTGTATAGCCTCCAGGCAGAGTAGTGGTCACAGAGAGTAGGTAACCAAGGAACAAGGTCACACAGGAGAAGGATGCCTTAGGCTACCAAGGAACAAGTCAACCTTCAGCAGGAAAATAGGAAGCTAGCGGTGGGCTTCTTTGGTCAGCAAAGTCATTCCAGGGGAGGGTCTCAGGTCACTGTGGCTCTTCTTGGAGCTCCTACCATCAAAGATCCTTCCAGTATCCTCATGCTGCCCTGAGCCACTGAAGATAGGGTGGCCCCTTCTGGCCCATAGAGCCTCCTTCCTGGAGCTGTCATGGTCAGTGTTTGCTGAGCACCCACTGATTCCAAAGCTTCCTGTTCCTGCAGAAGGATAGTAACCCTGACAGGGTTCAGAGAGGAAGGAGCGGGCGGGTGGGGGTAGGAGGGAGCCGCACAGCCAGCCAAGTGGCCAAAGGCTTCCCAAAGGAGGTCATTTCCTCCCTGCTGGTCTTGGGTCCTGCCCTGGGGAAGCATGCAGAACTCCAGCAGAGTGACCCCAGTGTCCTAGGCTGGAGAGATGTGCACTGCTCCATGGGAAGCCTATGCCTGGCTAGGCTGTGTGTGTGTGTGCATCTGTGTGGGCCTGTACCTGGGCACTGGCTTCTCTCCTTTTTCAGGGGCCTTGTCAGGAGACATTAAAAATGCCTACTTGGTCCATCAGCAGTCATTCTACTCCTCCCGGTAGGAGCCCAAGTGAAGGGGCCATTAGTAAAGGAATGGGGTCACTGAGGAGAGAGGCTTAGCAAAGACTCAGCCAGGGCAAAAGCCAGCGTCTGCATCCTGAGAGCAGGGAAGTAAGCAGACACATGGCTCATGAGCCAACCATTCTTCACAAGTGTTACTAACATGCGTGCGGGCCTCGCAGCTCAGGGAGACCCCGGTCAAAGGGAACTGGCAGAACACACTCCAGAGCGGTGTTTTAATACAGCCTGCCATATCTCTTCCATGCATCAGGACACTGCCTCTCCTCCTCTGGGCTGTGATTAAAGATTCCTTTGGCCACCAAGGAAAAGAGAAAGGGCCCCTGTCTCCACCACTCAACCATGAAGACTGGCTCCTGCACCCTTCTTAGATGCATTAGGGGGTCTCACTGAGCAGAGCTGGATGGCAGCTCTCAAGACAAGGAGACAAGGAGGCAGCCTTGAGTACCAGGACACAAGACTTCAGGTGACCTGATCCACCCAAGCCTAAAAAGCTTTCCTTGCTCCCAATAAACATCTCGGACAGTCTCCAGTGTGCAAAGCACACCCCCTCCCAAAGCAGGGCAGGCATGTGGCACCCAGAGCTCTCTGCCACCAGAGTGGGGATACCACAACAGGTTGGCCATGCTCAGTTGGATGCCCCCCGCCCCACTCCAGCTGGCTCTGCCTTCCTCCTCCATATCCTCCCAGCTTTTGTTGGCCTTGGGATGGGAAGCATCTCTGGCATAGCATCATCCCTGCCCTCCCCTGGTCTTCTCTTCTCAGTCTGATCTGCCCCAAGTCCTCAGCCAGGTTGGTGATCATGGGACTCAGAGACGGGGCTTTGTTTCTCTCTGCTGAATGATGATGAAGGCAGAAGGAGGGCCAGCGATCAGTTGGGGGTGAGAGATGAGTGGCACGCTCTTGTGCATGGCACATGCATTTGCAGATAGGTGCTTGCCGGAGTCCTGTGCCACGGGAGTCCTGGCAGTACCACAGTCCCATCCGGCCGAGGCCTAGCGCTTGCAGGTATACACAAGCTCTTGCTGCGCACACTGCTGGCACTCCACATAGCAGCACCACTGCACCTGGCAGTGGCAGGAGAAAGCCACCATGCGGCTCTGGGTGTCATAGCCTCGCCCACAGCACAGGCTGCTGCAGCTTGCATCCCGAGAACACACTCTGCCTGCCGTGCCCGGAGAGTACTTGCTGGGCCGGCAGAAGCTGGGAGAATCTTCCATGTAGACCAGGTCCCCAGGGCGAGGTGTTAGGCCCTTGGCAGGCCCACCTGGCTTAGCGGGCACCCACAGCTCCAGACGGCCCAAAGCCTCATTGGTGGCACTGGATACCTTGACGGCCGTGTCATAGCGTAGCTTCAGCACCTGGCCAGTCTCTCGAAATGGGGAGAGCTGCTTCCAACAGGTACGCACAGCACAGGAGCCTGACACACCATGGCACTTACAGGTTGTTCTCAGGCCACTCTTCACAGCCTGCAGAGAAGGTCAGAGCAGAGGCCTGTCAGTGGTCTAAGTCTGCCCCACCATGCCGGTTCTGCCAAGGAGTGTCAAGAGAATGAAAAAGCAGGAAGACGTATGTGAAGGTGACAAACAGGACCAGAGTCACAGTGATCTAAGACCCTCAAAGTACCTTTGTGTGTACTAGGAAAAAGTTTCCCTTCCTCTAGGCAATGCACTCCTGGGCGAAGGCAGTATGGGCCAGATCTCACCCGGCAGCTCCTCCACTTGGCCCAGAGTCCTTGTGGAGTGTACAGTCTGCACAACTGAACACAGCATCCTGGTTTCCTAAGAGAACTGAAGCTCTTGATCCCCCTGCCTTCTTGCTCCAGTAGACATAGAGACTCGCTGCTCTCAGCTCTCTCATGACTGGGTGTCCCAGGCTAAGTCCCTCCCCTCTCTGGGCCTCCTTTCTCTTCTACTTACAAAACAGAGGAGACCTGGGGGTTGTCATATCGAAGTCATCAAACGATGCTAGCCTTGTTGCTGGAATGGAGACTTCTTTCCAAACACCTCTTTATCAGAGTATGGTGCCAAGCCTGGCTCTGTTGTCATGATGCCTAGGAGTGTGTGCCCTCAGTGCCCAGTAATGTGCAGAGAAGGTTCACTTAGGGGTCTGAAGCTCATCTTGGAACATCTGTGTGTTAGGGCTAGGGCACTGACCTCCCGAACATCTTGCTCCCTACCTCTGTACCATGCCTAGCATGGCACTTCGGACAATAGGGAGGGGATTCACTCACCTTGATGCCCACATGGGTGTTGTGGGCATCAGCTCGGGCTCGTAGGTCCTTGCTTCCTCTCTTGGGCCCCAGGAAGTTGCTTAGGAACTTGGTGCTGTACTTCAGGTTATCACCACACACACCCCATTGCCAGGCCTGCCTGCTCTCCAGGCCTGGAGAGTCATCGCAGGTGCAACGCTCCATGCGCCCTGCACTGCAGGCCCGGGCCAGCGCATGTGTGAGGGCAGCTGCAGACACAGCATACAGGAAAGCTGTCTCCTTGAAGCCTGTGTAGGAGGAGAGGAAGCTCAGAAACCATCTGCAGCCCTTTGAAGGTAGGAGGTACGTGGGGCAGATAGTGGGTAGGGTAAGGGACTGGGAACCTAGGGACACAGCTGTGGAAGGCCTTCCCCTGTTACCTGCCCTCAGGCTCAGACTAAAAGCTGCCCCTTAAGCAACCTCTAGATTTACTGTGAAGTATGTGTGCCCAGATCTCAGAGGGCATCAGGACAGGACTGCTAATGTCAGTAACTTATGCAAAAAGGGACTTGGGCACCTGGGACAGGACCAGGCTAAAGCTAAATAGACATCCTGACTCGAAGTACTTTTGTGACAAGTTGGACAATCTGTTTCTATGGATTCCTAAGCTGTCTAATGTCTCTCAAATGTCCTCTGCCACCATCTGTAGGTGACCCAAAGACAGAATGGTCTTGGGGGTCCTGTCTGACAACCACCCAGTGCTGGAACAACCACTGTGCTCACATTGGAGGGTGATCCAATCATGCCTCCCCAAGTCCTCTGCTCTCGGTGTATCTGGGGCACTGGTGACAGCTGAAAAGAAAGGGAAGCAGGCCACCAGCTCTGTCTCAGACCCTCCCTTCGATAGAGAGCAGCTGGCCTACAGTGGGGCTGGCCACTACATTTTTGTAAAATTCCCCACTGGAAATCTAAGCAAGGTGAGTGGCTCACACCTACAATTCCAGCATTGGGAGATTGAGGCAGGATGATTGTTGAGCATTTGAAATAAGTCAAATAGTGAGTTCCAAGTCAGCCTGGGCTACAGAGACATAGTCTTCCAAAACAAATAACACCAACAAGTAAAAGTGCCTATGTTCCTTCTGCATGACATGGAGTCATACTACGATCTGTTTTCTCTTTCTAGAAGTTGCACTTTCCAAGGGCAACTTGGCCACACTCAGCCTGTGCCTCTGGCCCTTGGTAGTGCCTGGCTTATTGTGAGCCTCTGAGGATACTCAGTAGATGGACAGGGCTGGAGAAGGATGAGGAAGCAGGGGGAGGCAGGTGGGAAGGGAAGTAGGGAATGACGCATCAACGGACATGATGAAGGGTGACACATGAGCCTGTGGACAAAGGAATCTGCCTGACTTGCACATCTGGACCACTTAGTAGGTGGTTGGGGCCACCCACCTCCTCTATCATCTCTTCCAGGAATGCCGTGTCTTTTCCTCTCTTGTGTTATCTTTGCTCCTCTGTCCTCTCAAACCACTGGCCTTTAACAGACCTTACTAACTCCCCAGCTCTCTTCTCACTTGGGACTGTGCCCGGACAGTCAGCACAATGAGGGCTGGGTATAGCCACCTCACCACCTACAACCTCCCGCCAGCCCTCTTCCTCCCTCCTTTCATGCTGGCTTTCCTTGTTCTCCTCCCTCAACGTCCTCCCCGCTGTCCTCCTCACCTCTCTGCAGCAGGCCAGTCCTCCCCTCCAGGCTGCAGTTCCAGCGCTCCTGTCTGAACTGGAACTGGCATTCCAGCAGCCCCAGGTGTGCTGCATCCCTCAGGGTCTCGGCCAGCCCAGGCTCCCTTCTGCAGAGCTGCTTCTGCCGCCGAGACAGCTTCAGCAGATCACACTGCTTCAGGTGGGCACCAGCCTGTGCCGGGGCTGCCGCTGTGCCCAGGCCTGGGAAGGGTGTCAGGACATCACGCCCTGTAAGGCTGGAGAGGGTGAGAAGGGAGATGGTAAGCTTGGGGTTTCTGCCCGTGGAGGGCAAAAACTCATCCCATGGGGATGGAAAGAGGCTGTCTTCATTTTTTATCCCCTTGGATGGCAGGCCAATCCCAAAAGGGTTATGTCCTCATTTTATAGAATAGAAGACGAAGGTACTATGTAGCAAGGATTAGAATTGAACCTCAAACCCAAGTTCTCCAGATCCTAGTCTCTTCTTATCCATCCTAGTTCACCAACTTGCCTAATTGGGAAAATCCTGGGTGCATAGAAACACACAGGCAGGCTGAGCATGGCGGTGCATGCCTGTAATCCCTGCACTTGGGGGGTCTAAGGCAAGAGAAAACTATGTGTGCAGTGCCAGCCTGGGCTACACAGCAAGATCTGTCTCAGACAAACACAGATTTCCAAAACCTGCACTTGACTGTTTCTATAGCTCTATAGTAGGGCCTGGAAATGTGTACTTTTACCATATCCCCTGGGCAGCTGTTGTGCTCAGGCAAGTATGGGAGATGTTACTGTAGCATTAGTCACTTCCTGGAGGGGAGTGCCACCATGCTACCAGGGTTAAGCACAGGGGGGTGCAGAATGAATACCCAGCTGAGGTCCCTGTATCCCTCTGTCCCCTGTGTTCTATTGCTGCCCAAGTAAGCCCATGCCAGTCTAGCTTGTTTCCTGAATCCCAGGTAGATCACCATCTGGCCATTTGGTGCCTGATACAAATAGGAGCTTGGGAAAAGGAAAAAGGAGTAGGAGGAAAGGAAGGAGGGAGGGGAGGGAGGAAAAGAGGGAGAGGGGATGAAGGAAGGGAAGGGGAAGGGAGGGAGGGAGTCCCAAATCCCAGACTTCATGATGTATATCCAAAGTCATCAATCCTAGAGTCAGACTGCCAAATTCTAAGCTGCATCCTGCCACATCCTAACTGCAACCTTGAAAACTTGGCCCCCTCCTTGACATACATGAACACTAATACTCTGACCTCCCAATGGTGCTGTGGGGATTACAAAGAAAGTACAGGCTAGCCAGGCAGGCTTGCCTTCCTGCTGGCTGCCTGGTACTTCTTTCTCTCCTCTTGCAAGGTGCCTTACATTCTAAGTAGGCAGTGTCTCCCTTTGTCCTGACAGGTATTGTCAGCTTTGTGTGGAGGTGACAAGTGGCTCAGATAGCAGGCATGACCAGTTGAGCTGGGGGGGGGGGGGGGACGACGGGGGATGACAGAGCTGTGATCCAGAATTGGAACCATTCCCTCTTCCTGAATCTTGATGTGCCAGTGATAGATGTTTGTTGTCCCTCACCCTGGCGTACGCCATGTGGATGAAATAGACATCATTGTCAGACCTGAGCTAGAGAAAGCAGCTCCCTTCTTGAAACAGCAGGCTCTCAGCCACGGCAGCAAAGTGGGACCAGACACGGTCTATCAACAGTCCCACCTGGATGTGGCACTTGCCACTAAGGTAAGTCCTGTGGCCAAGCCCTGAGCAGTCAGAGAGGCCCTTATCCCACAGAGTCCAGGGCACGGCTCTACCCCTGGAGTCGCCTGCCTCAGCCAGAACATTTGGCTGGATGCCACAGCCTCTGTCTGCCTGAGAAATAGGAAGCCTCATTGGGAGGTGGGGGTCCTGGCAAGGTCCCAGGTGCCCCTGTAGATTCCAAGTCTATCAGGTGTGCCCAACCCGGCATGGAGCATATCTCCGAAACATTGAGCACAGACAGATACTATCTGCTGCCCCAAGCCCAGCCTGGACCCGGCTCCCCTCCCAGACACTGTGAGGGAAGGGGCCCGTTAAACATTAAATCGGGGCAAATGGGTAAGTTTCCAGTCCATCAGGCCTATACCCAGACCTCTCCCCGCAGCCTGGCAGGAAACCCTCGGAGCTTGACCCTGGGCAGGCAAGGAGCAGAGCCCCAGGTCAGGTCCTGCTGGCCAGGCCCCACCTTGAATGGTTTTCAGTTTCCAGGGCTATTAGGAACACAGATCGTGTTGACTCCATCGGGGACTGGTGTGAGGCATAACTGGCTCACACAGTTCCTGTTTCAGACACTGGAGCTTCCCTTATAGAAGCAGATTGACACACCAGAGAAGAAAATGCCAGTGATGGGCATTTTGGCCAATGGGGCTACACATTCTTTAAAGCCTGTTTAATATTCATTAAAAATAATGGTAATAGAGGGCTAGGGAAGTGGTTCAGTGGAGGCATGAGGATCTGAGTTCAAATCTCTTGAACCCATGTAAAGCCAGGCATGGCCCCACACATCTGTAACCCCAGTGTTCCTTACAGTGAAATGGGAGGTGAAGGCAGGAGTTAGGTCTGGGAATATATCCCAGTTGATACGGTGCTTGCCTGCATTTAGCCCTGGGTCTTTTTGCTTTTGTTTTTCAAGACAAGTTTTCTAGCCAGGCAGTGGCAGCACACACCTTTAATCACAGTACTTGAGAGGCAGAGGCAGAGGCAGGCAGATCTCTGTGAGTTTGAGGCCAGCCTGGTCTACAAAACTACAGAGAGAAACCCTGTCTCAAAAAAAAAAAAAAAAAAAAAAAGGACAGGTTTTCTGTGTAGCCCTAGATGTCCTAGAGCTTGCTTTGTAGACAAGGCTGGCCTTGAACTCAGAAATACACCTGCCTCTGCCTCCTGAGCACCAGGATTAAAAGTGTGCACCACCACCACCCTGAGCAAAAAACCATTTTAAACCTGGGCATGGTCCACAGCCATCCTAAAGTACAGAACAAGTTGCGAGACTGGTGTGCAGCTCAGCCCAGTGGTAGAGCGCTTACCTAACATGAGCTAGGCTTGATTATCAATATTTAAAACAATTAATTAAAGGGACAGATATTATCTTACCATTATGATACTATTATATGCTATAATATATAATATATTAAAATATTGCATTCAGTTGGACGGTAGTGGCACATGTCTTTAATCCCAGCACTTGGGAGGCAGAGGCAGGTGGATCACAGTGAATTCCAGGCCAACCTGGTCTACAGAGCTAATTCCAGGACAGCTAGGGCTATTACACAGAGACACCCTATCTCGGAAAAAAAACAACAAAAAAATGCATTCATTATATGCATATACATATGTACATGCCACTTTTTGAGTGCCTCCTACTACTACTGCTACTTAGGACTTCAAAATAGTATAGACACGTGATTATCCAAATATTATGAACATGTGATTGTTTTCTGCCACGCATTCCTTCTATCACGGTTGTCATATGGTCCCTGTCTGTAACTGTGTTTCACATGACCAGGCTTGCCTCAAACTCAGCTGCTTGGATGATTGGGTTGGTGATGAATTGATGATCCTAGTGGAACCAATCAGTCTTTTCTCTGTGAATTTAGAATTTGGATAATGAGAGCACACTCTTGTTTTCCTTCCTTTCTCTCCTTGCACGACTGGGCCTGAAACCCAGAAAAGAAACAGAAGATGCTGCGTCGAGGCGGGAGAAGAAGGAACCAAATGCTTTGAAAATGGCAGAGGAGGCTGTGCAAGAGAGTTAGGTCTGGGGATGTAGCCCAGTTGATGCAGGGGATACTTCTGGCCCTGATCCCAGAGTCTTCCCAAGGATCACTCTGCTCTTGCCTGATACACTTACACTGTGGAGTCATGGCTGGGAGTTACTTGGTCTCCCTAAGGTCATTGTCCTTTGTTAGTGCATGCTGTGCCTGGCTATAAAGTAACAGAATTCTCCAGGCTGCAATTGTGGTTCTGCAAACACTCACTCATCAGCAGGCACCTGCCTTTTTAATTTCATGTAATAGGCCCTGAGATTGATGGCTCCAGAAGTCCAGTATAAAGTCCGTTAATTTTATTAGCGGTAATGACACTTAGTAGTGATTAATGGTCAGGAAAGGCAGCCAAGCACATAGAGGCCTCCGGCCCCACTGGGCCCCAGTCTGTCCAGACCTGCTCTAAGAAAGGGTTCCCCAGAATTTTAATGGGGTTCCCACAGGGTCTGGGAGAGCTCCTGGGACTCAGTGTTGTTTTTATGTGTGTTCTGTGTTGCTGTTTGAAGAAATGGCACCACCACAGCAAATGGAGAACAACTTGGCTATTTCCTTACCAGGACTAGCAAAATCCCCTCTGCTCACATGTTCCATGGCACCTGACATGAGTTGTGTGATATTTTGACTGAATTCTGACAATAAAGTTTGCTTTGAGTCAGAGGGTGGAGCTAGCCACTAGCTGACCAAAATTAACCATAGAGGTTTTGGAGGACTGAGGATAGACAGGAGACAGGAAGTAGTAAGGTGGGGCTGAGAGAGGATCTCAGCCTTTTGGATGGAGGAACAGGAGAGGAGGTCACTGGTGGCTTCTCTGCCACTTCTCTGGTCATTCAGGTTCTTACCCTGATATCTGACTCCCAATTTTTTATTGATAAAGGATAATTAGATAAACGCATCAAGTGTGGGAAGTTCTTCTGACTGACTCATCAGACTCCTGAGCATTGCAGATCACAGCCTTTTCAGTGGCCAGCGGGTGTGGCATCTGTCACCCCAAGTTCAAGGACCCCACCACATGTTAGCCGAGACACTTGGTAGTGAAACAGATAACCGAAGAAACAAAGACTAAAGGGGTGTGTAAGGAAGACACTGCTCTGTGCCAATCAGGAACTCACACACAGGTCGAGGTGTCACCTGTGACCAGGATAGAGATGACAGAGGGGGTGGAGCTTATGAGCTTGCTAAGTGGCCTTTAGGATGGTGGGACAGAAGTTCCTTAGGATCTTCTGCCTGACTCCACACCCCTGAGTCACTGCAACCACAACCCGTGCTCTGGCCCAACGAGGCTCCCTACTCCCATCTCCTACCCCCCCCACACACACTCCTGACCTCTCTTTTTCCTTACAAAACACCAGCCCATGTGACCAGCTTCCTTCCACTCGTTGCCAGTGTGCTGTGTCCCTTGGGTCACAGCCTGGGTCCACGGTTCCTAGTACTCAGGCTGGGGATAGATAAGAAGCCGGCATGCTGAGACATCCTCTGGCTTTGACTCGTAGGCAAGACCAACTGTTCCTACCCCCAAAAGTTGCCCTTGGGGATTTTTCTCACACATGCCCTACCCCAGACCTCCTCTGTCCATTGAAGCCCTTCCTGTCCCTCCTCCTTTTACACCTCTCCCATCCACGGGTTTGGTTAAAGTTGCTCCATCATGACATCCCTTCGGGAAGCAACAGAAAGCTAGTGATGAGCCCCAGGGGCCACTCAACAGCCCCCAGAAGAAACGTAACACTAACCAGTATTCCAGTGTGGAGAACTAGAGGACCTCATGTCCCCCATCCATTCTCCCTGAGTAGTCTGATCCCAGGCTTTCTTCTCATTCAGAGGTGACCTCAGGGATGTCACACCTGGACTCATTCCATTTCATAGGCAAGTGTACACGCTGGCAAGGCCCTGTGCCTCTGAGTACCTGGTCTATGAGATGGAGACAGTAGCATCCTTTGTCTCTTAGGATTGTTGATGACATCCTGCCAGCTAATGTCTGGGGAGATCCTAGAATGGTCCCCGCCTGGCACACAGTATGCCCCAGGTAAGTGTTTTGTTATTAAGCACCAACTGTGTACATGGTGCTGGATATAAGAAATATGGTCCTGCCTTCCAGAAACTCACAACCTAGAGGGAACTCGGTTGGACTAAAGAGTCATCTAAACTCTCTAACAGCCCAAAGACCCAGAAAAAAGAAGAAAGCTTTGAATCAGCCTGGCTGCCCGAGCAACAAAAAGTAGCTGAGGAGCTCCGTATCTAGGTGACAGCCTGACCTTGGCCAGGTTCACCTTGCCAGCTGCAGAGGGAGGCAGGAACACTCCAGGCTAGGGAAGACAGCTGTTCTTCCAGCTGTTTCTGCTCCAGGGGATCTGTGGGTGGCTAGGTGGGATGGGGAGACGCAGGGGGGACCCATGGCATTAGATTAATGCAAGGGATCTGGACTCTTGGCTGGAGGGACAAGGAGCTGAGCCTGGTACCAGAGCCCATGCCAAGTACAGGCTGCCGCTGAGGAGCAGGAAAGCCCGCGCTGCCTGGGGCCTTCAGAGCCCCATTAGATGCTCCTGATAACAGCTTCCGCTGCGGGGGCCGTTTGCATGGTCAGTGCTCCCTTTGTGCATTCATCTTGAGCATCTTGGGACCTCATCCTGGCCCTGTCTGAGCCTCGGCACACTCCCACGCCCATGTGTACACACCCACGTCTCTGCACACTATCCCCCTGTCTCTATTCTCTCCCCCACAGGGGGCAGCTCCGTGGGGGCAGTACCTGCCTGGACGGTGGCCAGTCTTTCTTAAGAGAGAGCATCCAACAGCCACCTCAGACTTCTCTCCGACTCTATCATGCCCTCCTGGGCATCTTCATCTTTGGACCCCCTTTTCTGAGGCTCCTGGGTCAGCTTGCAATTCCCTCATGAAGACATTTGTACTTGGAAGCCTAATTGGTGGGTACCCTTCCCATCTGTGCTACAGCTAGCCTTTCCTCCCATGATGTCTTATTCCTTCCGTCACCAAGCATCCTTCATGGAGGGTCCATCCACAGGCACAGCACCACTTGTTATGTCTCTCCCTGGCTCCATTCTCTGCTCCCTCCATAACTTTAACCTCATAGCCCAGAGGCACAACCTTATGGAATGGAGTTGGCCACATCCTCCTACCTGGAACTCATGCTGAATCTGATACCCCACTCTGGTCCCTC